AAGTGTTTCCATCGCTTGGAAACTTAAAATACTGCAGATAATTCAACATTGCTTTCTGGCTGAGCAATTGCAAGTCGCGTGTTTCTTGCTTTTTCGAGGGACAAGAACAAGTGTTACCTGTTGGTGTCATTTCTACCTCGTTGCCATTCAAGCTCTGCACTTACTCTGAACAACAGGTCGCTTATTATGCTTGTGCAGCACTTTACATAGCAACTACTGATTGGATCAGACTCAGGGTCAGCAGTCGATGTTACATGCAAAAACTCAAACACCGTTGTTTCGAAAGTTCTGTGCAGATTTAGTTTCGCCGAAAAATTATTTGAGTTTTGATATTGGACTAAAATTAACAGTAGAAGAACAAAAATGGCTTCATGATGTAGTCCATTCATACTTCCTAGCGATGTCACTGACCCTATAAAATGATCCCTTTATATAGAAAAAAGCGCAAAAACCCATCACCAAAAACAAAAATTCAAAAATCAACGCGTTTGAAATTTGCACTTCACTAAAACTTAAATTGTATGAGCTATAAAACTGCATATCGAAAAATGTTGTTAAGTTTCAGATTTATGTTGAAATTTTAATGAACATTTGTTGAGTTTTCTCAAATTTTTTATAAAGTTCGAAACTGTGATTTATGTATATGGTTTTGCTTAAAGCTCGGACCATATTTTTTATAGAAAAATGACGAAAAAAATTAACTCCCTTGTTTGAGTCACGAGTGATGTGACGCAACATCAAAAAACTTGGTTTATTGGACCAAAGAACAGAAAGATCAGATCAGCCTACTAAAATTTAAAGATGGATAAACGCGAACGGATCGGGCAACAATTCACAAGGCAGCACAAACACGGGCGGGGCTAGTCTCAGCTCTATTTGGGGGCGAACGAGTTACACATGAAGCGGCTTTGTGATGTTGTCATGTCGTCTCGAGTATCTAAAAGTGGCGTTTTGTAAACGTAACTTTATATGAATGCACACCTAAGCTCTCAAATATCAATTTACAACTACATATAGAAACTGAGCCCCACTTCTTCCTGTGCTAATTTTATTTATTTATTTACTTTTATTTATTGCTTTCTGTTTTATGATTTTTTATGTACGTATATGTATGTATATACTTCAGTGACGTTGTGGAATGTCGATTTTGTTTGCTTGTTTTTTTTTGCATTTCGCTATGTTAACTCACTTCTTTTCATTCAGCGCATACCTCAATTTCCTATTCGGCTAGTCTTGGTCGAGCGTTGAATAAAATTTTGATACGGGTTGGTTCATTTCAATTGGCGACAGGGATGAGTAATCTCTTGACATTTAATCGGCGGCATCTATTAAGACAGTGGCAACAAAAAAGGCTATAAAAATGTTACCAACTTAGGCTAAAAACATACTGGAGCGGCGGATGTTTTTGTGTTGTAAAACGTTAATTAGACGCTTTCGTTGTCTATAAAAATTTGGCTGATATAATTTCATTGAAATATTGAAACATATTTAAAGATGTGACTGGTGGAACAGGTCCTTTCCAACAGATTAATGAAATGTAGTTTTTTTAAAAAAGTGGTTTCAACGGAAATAGAAAAAATTAGGCCATTTTAAAATTTATGTCGTTTTCCTCTTTTACATGGCCATTTAAATTTTCTTAGAACACCGTTCAATAACATTTTTATGGTGGCGTCTGACACCCTTATAGCTGCTGAACACCACTTTCTTTTAATAGCCCAGTCAAGTTAGCTCAATAAATAGGGGTAACAAAGAGAAGGTCCACGTATAAAAAACACAACAACAAATAGAAATAGAGACTTGCCACCTTTTTGAAAAATTTCGATTAATTAAATTGATGAAAGAATAAAGTACAATGTATTACAATTTGCATGTCGAATTATGTGGTTTAAGAATGCTTGATGGAAAATATCTTGGAAGAGGGTTGCCATATTATTAAAAAAATTTAATTTAATTAAATTAAGAACATAAATAACTTATTGTAATAATATAATATATGTATAACAAGAGAGGCTTGATTTCCAAAAAAAAAAATTTAAAGAGTGTTATCATCTGCATGACAAATGAAATGTTCAATAAGGGCGTCAAAGTAAAATTGCTTCAGAAAGCTTAGTTTGGAAAATATTTTTAAAGAGAATTGCCACCTGAGTGAAAAATTGTATCCAATTAAATTGGTAAGTCAAATGAAATATTACAATTTTAGTATCAAACGAAGTTATTTGAGAAATCTTTGATCACCAATTGAATAAGTTAAGACCAAATTTAAAATTAAATTAAATATTATGAGATGGATATTTAAAAAAGCTTTAGTAGATTGAAAAGCTTTACACATTCTTTGATCCAGATATTTATAAAAAGGGCTGTCACTGATCTTAATTTTTATACTGAGGGTTTGAGTAGTAGAAATAAAATAAATTTTTTTAAATATTTACGAAACGAATTTTGAAAAAAAGCTTTAAAAACTGTTCCAATTATTCGCGTAAGACATGGCTTGTCCGACCAGTGTGCGCTGTAGTGAAAAAGCGAGGTAAAGTAAAAAAAAAATGTAGTAAAGCTTAGGATGGAAACAATCTCTTACAGCTTTACATATGTACATATGTAAGTAAACTGCTGTTTATTGTCCCCGGTGCTACCATTAAGCTGCATATTTTGCCACGAGTGTAAATGAGCCGCCAAACAAGGAGTTCATTGGAAATGTTCTGAAATGTCACTTTTTTGCTCGACAGCAGGCCGTATAAAATTCGTCTGCAGAAAGTCATCTCAATCGAACATCTCACAAAAAACAATTGCAAATTAATTAGCTCTTTTGCAATCTCATTCTTGGCAGCAACTTTGCCAAGAGACTTTTGCACCTCGTAACATCTTCAGCCCGATTTTCTCGCGATTCCGATTATCGCGCCTTTTTCGTGTTAGGCATTCTGCACATGGGTCGTAGGGCTTTAAGCGCGTATTAGATGCTACATACGAAAGTATGATGGACAATTTTACTCGAGTCACGCTTATATTAAAATTATTTATATCAAAATGGATACAATCAATGTGATTAGCTATGGTCCAATTGTTTCCATTTATTCAATTTGGAATTAATCGTCGCACAGTGGTCGGAGAAGTCATGTTTTACGCGAAAAATATTAAGGGATTTTACGATTATAATAAAACTGCGGGATAGTAGTATTGTTGTAATGCTAAATACGAATATACCATAAAATTTATAGTTTGACAGCTGTCAAATCAACTGCCAATTTCTCTAAAATTAAGAAATTCTTTTTGAAAATACCACTGATTACGTTTCCTGACGTACTGATCACGAATTTCATGTCGAGTTAAAACTTTGATAGTTGACAGCTGTCAAATAAACTCTTAATTGTTCTAAAAATAAGCAAATATTTTTTTTAGATGCTACTGATAAACGTTTTAGACACGCTAGTTACGAATTTACGTCAAATTAAAACCTTAAGAGTTTACGACTGTCGAAGGAGCTATCAATTTCTCCAGAAATAAAGAAAACTTCCCAAGAACTAAACGTACTAAGTTTTAAGCCTTATTGATCTCGAGTTTTGTATCACATTCAAACTTTTTCGGTTGTCAACTGTCAAATCAACTGTCATTTTCAGTTGACTAACACTGTATAGTTGTTTGTCAAAAAAACATAAATAAAATCGTCTGCTATATGTTCAGCCCAAACAATTTGATATAGACCCAAACAGTTTTTTTAAGATTTTTTTTTTTTTTATACGAAACTCGTCATTGCCACAACTACAGTTTTCTAATTTTTAAATAAAGATATTTAGCTTTGAATTTTTGGAAATTTCGGACGCCATATTGCATTTTGAATTTTCAAAAACTAGTTGAAAATCTGTAACGAGTGAACTGAAGAACCTCTAAATACCAAATTTCATGAAAATTCAGTGATGTTTTTAATTCTTAGATGCCATATTGGATTCGTTATTGGATTTTTGAAAATTGAGTTCAGTTTTGTTAAGACATATTTAATATTTTAATACACTTTATTTTATTTGGAACAACTACTAAAGTTGGTATAGTAAAATAAAAATAGCCGCCACTCTTTTTGGCGCGGATTTTCTTTTCGTAAATCCTGCAAGGGGCCTTTGCATTAGTTTCTGGTAAAGGAATGAAAATCCTAGTCGACCCTACTAATTAGTTATATCTTTTTGAAGAAAATTTCTTGAAAAATAAGCTGTGTTATTAAGGTGTTAATAATTTGGCAACCACATTTTAATATGTAATATTTCATATCAAATCATCATTTTCCATGTTTAAGAAGTAACTCCAAGCCAGCAATTACTGTCGTAATTGAAAGTTTCCATAAAAAAAATTTTTAAGAAAGCATTCAACTCATAACTGTTGGAACGTGCCACGATCGGATACGTCGAATTAAACGGATTTAAGGGCTTGCTCAGCAGATATTGAAAATGCGAATCAGTTTTGAGTTCGTTGGACATTTCTAGATAAGAATAGCTTTATTCCGGTTAATTTATCGTAGTTTTAAAATATGCCTTTTTCGCCTAAAACATAGTTTCTCCGACCACTGTGCATCGTCGTGACTATACCATTAAGTGGCGGATTCACCAGCCTATTTAGTGAAAACTGATTTTTTCCATTCGGTCAGTTTTCATATTACATCCAATTAAAACAAGTAAGGGCAGTACTGTCTTCGACTATGCCAAAGGCTTCATACCTTTCATGAACATCAAAAAATGTTATTTACTTCAACCGATTACTGAAATTGTAATTAGTTGTTTGTGAGCTAAACAAAATTTATGTATTTACTGCATATATAGATAGTGGAGTTAACAAAAACCCCCATATCTGAACAATCAGTGGTATGGAAAATATAACACCGATGTAAATGATTTTCACTGCTATGTACGTTCCGTATGTAAACCGTTCACACAATTTAATGGTTTAGCAGCCAACATAAACCACAGCATAACAAATGGAGGAGACTAACAAAAAATCTCATATCTTAACAATCAGTTGTATTGGGGAGCTGTGCATATGTTATCTATAGTGGTCCGATTTTTTCGGTTCCGACAAATTATTAAACCATTATGAAAATACATCCGCTTACCTAATTTCAGTCGGATATCTCGAAAACTGAGGGACTAGATTGCGTTCAAACAGACAGACAGACAGGCGGACATGGCATGTCATTTAAGCATACATTTTTATGGTTCTATCTCTTCTTCTTCGGTTACTCACAAACATCGGACCAAAGTTGTAAAACCATTTCATGTTCATGAAAGGTATAAACATAATTTTATTTTTTGAAACTGGCTATTAGCATTTAAATATCCCCCAAAGCTCTCTTAATAGTCAATCGCTTCCTAGTGTCTATTCTAAAAGCATGAATGTGGTCCTGAAATTTGTGCTGCTTTTTACAATTTTCACACTACACCTAGAACAGAGGGAATACTTCGCCGAAGCCTACATAAAACTTACTAATGCGATATGTAAATCTTTCGATGAAAAATTTGCCATCTTTAAATCTTGTCGTTTATACGTTTATCGTCGACGTGAAATTTCATTTACGATGCACGTAAGGCTCTTTCAAACACCAGTTCGTAACATCAGTGTGAGTAAGAAAGTTTGCGCATTTCTAACATAACCACTAAATACAAATTATTTACTTAGGTCAATTTAAGCCTTTGGCGGAAAGCTAACACATTTCAACCTTTTCTGTACAATGTGACCGTTGATTTCTGTAAGTTTTTGAAACGTAGGTACTCACCACCTTTAAGAATTGTATATGAAGCATTATTTAAGACTTCGAATATAAATCACACTTGCCCGTTCGATGTAAGTATCGTAAATACATACATATGTGTACATGGTTGGAACTAAATAATCTGCAAGTTGTTTTCTTTTCGCAGCACGACATAATTTTAGATCGTTTCGTTCCAAACGATGGTATGTTTAGGCTATTACCTCTTCCTGGAGGACAATACATGTTCAAATTTCTCACGGATGTTAACAATGAACGGAAAACTGACGTTCGCGTTGAAATCTCTATTGATTTAGACTCCAAGTACAACTAAATATGTAATATTTATGACTTATATGTATAAGTACTTGAAATAAAACTTTTACTTGTAAATGCATTTGGTTATTTCCAATCTGGCGTTACGTAGTCACTTTTGTATGTTGTAAGGCCAATTTTCCAAGTTTTTAAATGTAAAAATCTTTTTTGCTTTTTGTTTAATCAGCTGAAGTATCTGACGTGACGTTACGTTACTAAAGTTGCCATTGAAAAAGTTTTGTATGAGCATCTTATTTGAAAAATGTGATTTGCACTCTTACTTCTTGAAACAGAGCTCTGAATAGCCGTATATACACTGAGAAAAACTCAACCAAAAATTGGTTAATATTACCAAAATCAAACTGGAAAACGAATCAATGTGATTTTTATTTAATGTTACACCGCTTTGCATATTTATAAGGCCGCCACATATTAACAAGTTTTGACTATTTATTTTTATATTATTTATTTTCAATTATTATCTTATAAAAATAAGTTCATTCTATAACGAAAACCATACAAATCCATACTTCAAACTTTGTGCAAAAATTATAAAAATTCAGCGAATTTTCACCAAAATTTTAAATTTTTTTTAAAGAATTGGTTGAAAAATTTGGCTACAAAACACCGTTGATTTTTGACAATTTTTTTTTTGTTGACAGTGTTGTGCATTTTCTTCCATATAAAAAAATACGTTGTATGGAAGCAAATGAGTGACACCGTCAACCAAAAAAATTGCCAAAAATCAACGATATTTGTTAGCCATATGAAACTCGCACTTTCTTATACTAAAATTGCTTGGGCTATAAAACTGCATACGCAAAATTTTTAAAAAAATTCTTTAAGAAAAATCGTTGATTTTTTCTAATTTTTGCACAAAGTTTGAAGTGTGGATTTGTATGATGTTTATTATAGAATGAACAAGCTATTTTCTTAATAACAAAGTGAATAACGTCCTCAACGTTCATATATGCAATGATTTTAAAGTAGGTAGATAGGAGGGAAAATACTCCGCCATTACTTTAAATTAAAATTTTTCGTAAAAATTAAAAGAAACGGTCGAACGTAACCTTCGCAACGCCAGGAGACGCCCATTTACTCGTACGCAAAATGTATTCAACAAAGTGTGATTGATTTTGACATTGCTCTCATAAGAAGCAGGCTATAATGTCAAATTGAAATGAATTGTTAACCCATTTGAAAATATTTTTTTTTTTCAAATTTGAATTTGTTTAAAAAAAATTACACAAAAATTTTTCAAGCAACCAATTTTCTTAATAAACGTAAGTAAGCACATTTAAAGTTTGGTAATAAGTAAATATGTACGTTCGACTTTTCTTAAATATTTAATGTAAGGAAACCAAGATGAAACGGAGCAAAACTTTTGAACGGTGCGCTGTATGCAATAGAAGTCAGGACACGAAAATAGAGCGATGTTTTAAACCACCTAGTTGCGAGTTAAGACGGCAGCGATGTAGTGTTGTACTACGTGATTCATCTCGCGTTTGTGAAAACCACTTCAAGGAAAGTGATTTCATTTGTTGTCCGTGCGAGTTAAGCACTTTCAAACGAGCTCGTTTATAAACAAACTATTTCGCATAAAAAAAATTTATTTTCAAAATTGTTAGAGTTAAGCTCTCATATTTATAAAATTGGAAATAAATGTAAAATTATACTTCTATTTAAATATAAAAATAAACGCACAAAAGCATAAAACTTGGGCAATTAAAAACAAGAAAATTGCTAAAACGATTTTATAAACAATTTGTTTTATTTTATTGACAAAATATATATATTCCAGGTAATGTAAGTAAAACAAAACTATAATCAAAATAAAAGCCTTGGAATCAGTGCTGACAAGATACATGCATCACTAAGGGCCGGTTTCTCCATCTCTGGTTAACACTAACTCCCCGGTTAAGCATTGTTATCGACGTTCTAACTCCATGCATATAACAGGGAGTCGATAAGGTCGGTAACGATGTTTACCGGGGGATTAGTGTTAACCGGAGATAGAGAAACCGGCCCTAAGGGTTAATTCGTTTGTTTATACTTTTTGACATTATAGTACCTTAAAAGAGAGCCGCACTGAGTTGTCAATCACACCTTGTTTAATACACCTTGCTCGTACGTACGTATTTACTACATTGAATTTGGAATATTTACGACTCTCACAGAAATACGAGATTAATTCGAAAAGTCAGTGACTATTTGAATATCTAAAAGATATATTTCTCGTAAAAAGGGCGTTTTATTTCACAACATAGTCTCCTTTTCCCAATTTATGGATATTTTCTATGGTGACTACACACGTGTGTACCCGTGCATTGTCTTTGTGGAACAGTTCTTTTTTCTGGCCCAAATTGTGTCGATTTTGCATGAAACCTATAACGATTTCTAGCGTGACGACCTCTTTTGAACGACCTTTATGTTCGGAGTCACTTGTGCTTTGTAAAGATTCGAATTAATAAGCTTGAAAATTTAATGCAATTTTGTTGAAATTTTTAAAATTTTCCTTACTGTTGTACAAAGTTTGAAATTTGAACTTATATGGTTTTTGTTACTTTTATAAACCTTAAATAAAAAAATTTAAATAAAAAATGTCTCGATCCTGTTTATATTTTTGCCGCCGTACAAGTATATGTATAACGGGCAAGCCTTCTCAAGGTGAATTGTTATTAGCAGCAAACCGTTTAAACTCGAATTTGTGGATAATTTTGGTTTTTACACAAAATCCTTGCAGCCATAGCAGTGATTTCGTATCTTATCTACGAAATAATGATAGAAATTTATGTTTATATACTAAGCACTTTAATTCTAAAGCATTTTGCATTTACGATATACATATGTATTATCCAATAATATTAAAATTCTTTTTCTCTATTTTCAATTCACAGTCCAACGTGCGAAAGGTCTGCTGACAAAAGGCAAAAATGGCACCAACAATTGTTTCGTCACGATTTCGCTGGGTAAAGAGAAATACCAGACATCAGTCAAAGACAAAGCGGAAACAAATGTCAGCTGGAATGAAGAATGTGAACTGTAAGTTTTCGTCATCGGATTGTAATTACATAAATAGAATTTTCTTCAAGTTCATGCTCTATTCTTCACCTTCCCCTTTAGCAAAATTCCCGATCAAGGCAACCGTGCTGAATTGACGTTGACTTGCCTACATCGCAATAATCTCGGCATCGATGAATTTCTCGGTCAGGCCACATTGCCACTGAATGAAATGGACGTTTACGACCGTCCACGTTCTAAATGGTTCAAACTAGAGAGTAAACCTGGCAAAGAGAAAAAGAATAAAGAGCGCGGTGAGCTGGAAGTTCGTATTTCCTTCGTAGTCAAATCTGGCTCACTGACTGATCTGAGCAAAAAAGAAAAGCACAAGTCTTCCATTGGCCAGCTGGCTTCTTCCGTGGGTGGCAGTCTGCTTTCGATTGGCACAATAGAAAAACGCAAAGGTATTAAGAAGTTCGCCAAATCGATTGGCTCGAAAATGCATTTGAGCAGCAAGAAGAAGAATAAGGATGGCGATGATGTATCGAATTTTAGCGGCTCATTCGCGAGCATCGGCACGCCGAACAGTTCGAATGGCGGTAGTCATCGTTATGGTCAGCGTGCCGGTGAGGCAGATCCTGGTGTCATTAGTGAAGATGAAGATGAATTCGTTTTTGACAATTTGTCACACAAGAGCTCGGCGAGTTCATTGAACATACGTTCAAATCTACAAGTGCCTACACAAAATTTCGCACCACGTAATCCCTCACCGCTGCTGGGCAAAGTCGGAGGTAAGCCGTTGTCTAGAAGAGATTTGGTGGAGGAGGATCTCGCCGTAGATCCCGAGTTAGAGGAATTAGAAAACGACTTCAGCGTCCGTGCACGAACACTGCCGCCGCCCTCGAAACCACCTCGCACACAACAACAAATCAACGATGCGGTAGCTGCGTCACCCAAACAGAAGGATCAGTCACTAGACGAATGGGAGTCGAAACTGTATAAACAACACTTACAAATTGGCAGTTCAGATTCTTTGAAGCGACGTTCTTGGGAACAGTCACGTGTGCCGCTACCAACACCCAATGAAGAGGCAGAGCAGGAACCAGAAGTGAAAGTGGAAGAGAAAAATGAAGTAGAAAACAAGCAAGAGAATGGCTATCAGAAGCAAGCAAATGGTTTCAATGTTGCAAAGCTTCCACAACGTAACAATGGGAGTGACTCTTCTTTGTCATCTTCGGATTTAGACGAGGAGGAAAGTATGCCTGAAGCAATCAAAACCGAAGTCAAAGTTATTCCCAATAAGCCACTAGAACTTAATCTATCCCCTACGCCCATTGCAGCAACAAAAAATATAAGTCTTTTGTCCCCGGATAAGGAGACAAAGGATTTCAAAGAGCTTAACGCTTCATTTGCTAAATTCGAACAGCGCAATAAGTCACATTTATTCGATTTGGACGCAGATAAAAAATGGCATACACAATCCTTCATCGCGGAAGAATCCAGAGTTCCTCCTGTGCCAAAGGCTATGCCACGAAATCGTGAACGAGAAGCAGAAATAAAGCGTGCTGAAGAAGAGCAGGAAGCCGAGCGCATACGGCAGGCGGAGGCAGAGGCCAAAGCTGAAGCAGCTGCCAAAGCGGCAGCAGCAGCTGACGCCGAGGCCAAGGCCGCTGCACAAGCCGCACGCAAACGCCAAGCTGAACTTGAAGCAGCTTCCATTGCCGCCGAAGTTGAACGTAACCGCCGTGAAGTATCTGAACAAAAACAACAGCGCCGCGCTGCTGAAGATGCGCGCCTAGAGGAAGAATTGCGCAGGAATGAACAGAAATTACGTGAAGAAGAGGAAGCATTGCAGGAGGAATTGCGTCAACGTGAGGAGGAGAAACGACGAGAGGCAAAAAGACGTGAAGAAGATCAACGCATTTTGAACTTTGCGAAGCGCTCTACATCGCTGGAGGAAGAACAAAGTCCTTATGGCACGCCTGAACAATCGCCCAGCGATACTTTGGCTGAGAAACGCGAACGACGTATGGGCAAATTCAAATATCTCAATAAGCGAGGTGAGCGTTTGAGAGGGACGGTGTGCAGTGGTTGATGAACGTTTGTCGTTGTTGTTGTTGTTGACTGTGGCGGCAAACGCTGGCGGATTTATGAAAAATGTAAAACGCGAAACACATTCATTGAAAACAAAGTGAAATTTTGCCTAACTCAAGCAAGAAATTTGCGACAAAAAATAAACTAAAAACACATGAACACTTTTCAAAACTGGGAGATACATATTTGCATGATTTGATTCGGAACAGTTAATTGTATATACATAAATATTATGAAAATTGAAATGCACGCTTCTATAATAAAGGCCAATCAAACGCAAATCCGCCAGTGGATTTCATTTGTACGCTGTCCACACACACACACGCAAATATTCATCATCACTCACACACATCCATGCATGCGTATATGTTTTTGCTTTGGAATTCGTTAAAGCAGGTGTATTTTCATTACTCCATTCGCTTGTGCATACCTACATACATATGTACATAATATGTTTGTATGTTTATCAATCATTTGCATTCATTTTGCACATTAATTCATTACTCATATGCATTGCAGTTTCAATGTGAAGCAAATATTATGACTTGAAAAAAATCATGAACCCAATCTTTTTAATATCTTATAGAGAAAAGTGAAGATAATCGTTCCACGCCAAGTCCGAAAGCCAACGAACGCATTATTATTGGCCACGAAAAGTCCACATCACATGCTGAACGGCGCTCGGAAATATCAGCAGCGCTCGCCAAGAAATACGAGGGCAAATCGCGAGAGGTTCATTCACATTTTCATTACAATTTGTTTTGGCTTTACATAGGTATACTAATTTTCCACCGCTTTTCAGGAGCTTATGCTAATAGCTAATGGCATGGAAAATGAAGCGTTACTCCAACGTCAACGTGTGAAAGAGCTAGAAGATTATCTGGACAATTTATTGCTGCGTGTGATGGAAACTCACCCGAAACTCTTACAAAATCCTTACTCGCGTACTACATCGGCTAAGAGGTATGTTACTAGAGGGTGACTTTATTTAAAAAAAAAAATAAATCTATTCTATCGTAATATTGTATTATTGCCATTTTAATTTTTAATTAAAACCCTGCATCGTTATTGCATTCGCTTCTATTCACTGTAAAATTACAACACATATTTCGTTTTCATTTGTATCTAATCTATATTTCAATGCACATTCATACATTAATAAATTTTAAAATATATTTGAAGAACAATTACATAAGTGAAATCTAAGCAAACTTAGATGCTAGTGTTTGGTTAAAAGTATGATCATTATATGTATTCAAGTCTTTCTTCCCGCTGACTTGGGCATATGCGTCCAAATTGCGTAAGCGCCTATCTATATCTATATATAGAATACGCGAAGGGATTTTTAGTCCACAACATAATATCTGCACCGTTCGCTCGATTTTCTAAAATGAGGTGTCTAATTAAACGGCTTAGACTGCAGATGTGCAATAAGGGTTTATTTTTTTATTTTTGAAAAGAGTTGCGACCTTAGAAAAATTTTATTTTGAAATTCTAAAAAATTAATCAAAATGGATATCAATCGAAATTTTTTTGAAAAGCTTTGTTTCTTAACTTAACTGTAGGAGGGTAGCCACCTGTCTAAAAAATCGAATTCAATTTGAATTAAGTGAAATATGTTTCACCATACGGGTGCCAAACGAAAGGAGTTTCAAGTTCCATGAAATATCAAAATATGGATGTCAAACGAAGGAGTAATAAGAAATCTTTAGTGTGAACGGTAAGAATATTTTTGAGCTGTTGGAAGAGGGTTACCACCTGTTTAAAAAGTTAAATTCAAATTATTTAATAAGTTAAATGAATTATCAAAATATGGGCATCAATCGAAGGGGGTTAGACATTTTTTTATTTCTGAACTGTATTTAGGGGGTTACCACATGTTTAAAAATACATCAGTTAATTAAAATATGTATCGCATGAGTTAACAAGGATTTATCTTGAAAATGCTTTTGAAGAGGGCTGCCAACCGTTTGAAAGGTCTAATTCAATTAACTAATTTACTAAAAAAATTACATATGAAATATAAAAATTACTTAGCCAAACAAAAAAATGTTGAGAAATCTTTAGTTTGAACTTTTGGAATGTTTGAAGAGGGTTGCAACGAGTTTAAAAAGTTGCTTTCAAATTATTCAATAAGTTGGATGAATTATTAAAAGATGGGCATCGATCGATATTTAAGAAGATTTTAGTTTGAGAATACTTTTTCAAATGCATTTCAAAAATGAGAGGTCAAACTAAAGACCTTAGTCTGTAGTTGTGTGATAAAGTTTTATTTTTTTAACAAATCTTTTTTAAAGGTAAAGGGCGATTCAAAATTTGATGAAATTAAACACCTGCACTGTGCGAGGCTTACAGACTTACTCAGAAACGTCTGCACGGTTTTAGATGAAATATGATACTCGGATCCCTTGTAACTCTCACTAACATTTTTTTTTTTGTTTTTGAAATTAAATTTTGGAAGTTTTAACGCCCTGCGGGCTTCCTAGCTATTATTATTAGTTGAATACATTCATCCATATCTAATACTTATGTAATTTAAATATCTTTTAAATTAAACTAATGACGATCTAAAAAATAAAATAATCGTAAAAATATTTTCAAGAAATATGAACTCTGTGGCTGTCTAAAATTGCAAACGGCCGCAAGAGTTTAGAGCATACAATGGTGCAAATAGCTGTGCATGCAAGCCCATTGCAAAGGCTACAAAAGTAAGTGTGGCAACGTTAAAGGCCCTACACGCGCACAGATTTATCGGCGAACCAGTTGGTCAAATGCTAGAAGTTTGTTGTAAATAAGTAGGTAGGCAAGTTGGTCAACATTGAGGAAATTAGAACTGTTTGCCCAAAACTTTCGAACGGACTTTCGAAAACAAACTGCCATTTAGTTGATACCCCGGTGCCTGTTAAGCGCCTTTTTTTCAAAAGCTGGTTTTACAGCCACTGAGAAACGCAACTGCTTAACAACAAAACACTTATCAAAACTTTTGTTTTTGTAAAAATGGATAAATAATTATCGGCGCTAAAAATACTCGTTTGATTTCATTTAAGGTTAATTATCAAGTGAGTTCGAAATTTTTTATGGAAAAATATTTTTGTGAATACTCACTGTAAAAAAGTTCCTTTAAAAATTCGATTAATCGATTATTTCCCAATAACTGCAATTAATTGTAATTAATTTTTTTGCTTGTGATTAATCATATGATTAATTAATCGATTATTTTTTTTTGCCATCCCTACTCATGAGAAAAAGGGCTCGTTTTTTAGACATAGTTGGTAACAAAGTATGCTAAAAAATGTTGCAGTATGCTCGGCATAACCCCATCTTCACTCGAATTAAGTTCTGATACTAATTTCTATGTTTAATGCCGTTATCGGTGTTTTCAGAGGAGCACTACGGGAGCGAGGAAAAACATCTTGATAAATTGCTATAATTTATATTACCGATTCTATTATATATATTATATATTCTTCTGGAAACTGTGCCGGTCACCTCTCAATGGCATTGCAATTGGCTTAGATGGTAACCGCAATAATTTGCGAATATTCCTCACATAAATATATTTAAGCCGTTGGAGCAATTCAAAATTTTGCTTGAAATCCTTAAACGAATGTGGATCCGTCTAGCGACCTAATAATATAAACTATATATGAATTCCCGCACTGCAAATATTTGAGTAATCGAACATGAGCGATCATTCGAATATTCGACAGCCAGAGATTACTCGAATATTCGACGGTGCACGTTTATTCGAATACCACTATTCGAACATTGCCTCATTCGAGCAGTTCGATTATACGATAAGAGAAAACATTTGCAGCCAATTCGATTCCAAATTAGTTTTTGTTCCGCGGATCAGCTTACTCTAGTTCAGGCAGAAGAACGAATCGATCTATCTGTGCAGATTTCTTGCTTACCATTTCTTTTTCCATACTTTTCTTGTGTCTCTTATTTGCACCCATTTCATATGCTTTCTACATGTTTCGTGTTTCTGTATTGTAATTTTCATATCCATTTCAATATTTTAATTGCAATTACCTACATAAATACATAGATATGTATGTATATTCCTAGTTTATTAATATTTTCAAATGCAACCTCGTTATGTTATTTGTTATGTTCTTCTTCAGTTTTAAAAACTACATCAATATGAATGACTTTTTGTAAAGAACCGAATTTTGTGAAGCGCGATGAATTCCCAACCGATTGGCTGTTTGCATGTCAAAGCCAGCACAAGTAAGCAATTTTAATAACAATTTTTTACCCAATAACACTTTATTTTTCCCCCTTCCTACCCATAGATTTTTGTCAAAGTGTATATAAGGTGACAGACAAATGCATCGCTCATTGGTTTTTGCTTGAAGAGTGCAAACTTATTTTTTTATTTTACAAAAAAATGACCTAATACCAATTGATTTCGTTTTTTATTTCCAAAATAGTTTATTGCTTGAATTAATGCTTTATCACCTTTTTCCTCTGAACATTGATTTATAAATCTATTTCATTGTGTAAAATTATTTAAATTTTAATTTTCCACTTGCAGCGGCTGAACAACTTTAAGGAACATCTTTTAATTTTAAGCAAATTTCATGCGCGGCTGACCTGACCGGTAATTCCAAGCGCCTTCCAGCTTAAGCAACAACAACACAAGCATATACAAAATCAAAAATCATAAAAGTAAATAAAAAGAGCGGAAATATCACCAAGTTGCCTTAGAGTGCAAAATCCAAAGTGCTTTTTATACAATGAGTATTTAATTATGAAACGTTTATGAATGCAACTAAAAAAAAATTGTGTACGAGTATAATTTTTTTGAATCGATGTCACTATACTAGTTAGAAATGATTTTGTTTCTGCTAACACAGTTAAATTATTGTAATATATTTTTTAAGTAAAGAAACAAAAAAAAAAGAATTTTTTAAAACATTTTTGTTGTGTGAACGTATTTCACCCGGCGGATTGCATAGAAAAAAAATTTAAATGACTTCACCTTAACAAAATCAAATTTACGATAACCGCGGGTAATTTATTTAAGTTACTTTATAAGTAAGAGAATAAGAAGGAAACATTAAATGAACAAAAATGCATCTTCAAAATAAAATCGCCAAATGCCTTTGTCTATGTAAGACTCTTCTAAACGGAGCCGAGAGCTGCAAAAATGCAAAAATGGAATCAACATTAACTAAATGTATTTATAACTTTTCGTAAGAAAAATATCAAAAGTAGCCACGCTTATCCAAAGCACATTATGAGCCTACACTATTGCATTTTTTAAGGTAAAAATCGCTTGTATGACTTTGAACGATTTGTTAGTTAGGATAATTTTGTGACACTTTATATGTACTATGTAAAAGGTATTTGTTGTCATTATTGCTACAAATAATTAAAGTCTTTGTTGTCACTTTAAAAACTTTAAGTAACTGTTTATGATTTTATATAAATTTTTAAGTGTTTCATATTTGATTTGGACTTTTATTTTTATATTGTGCAACATTAATAATATTATTGAACATGTTTACCCTTGACCTTTATAATTATACACATAAGTATAGGCTTGAATTGCCGCGATATTGTACTTTAAGCTTGATTAAAAAACTAAATAAAATGTGTATTAAACTATTTTTACTATATATTCATTGTTGTTATTACTTATAATTATGCGTTCGAGTGGTTAGATAGGTCCAGGGTTCGATCCCTGGTCCGAGCCACATCAAAACAAAGGTTTTTCGAATAGCGGTCACCACTCGACAGGCAATGGCTAACTCTCTAGTGTACTTCTGTAAAAATCGGAGGAGAAGCTCGCCAAATATGTTTAAAATTAAATAAATCAACCAGCTTCCATTTTAATATGTGGCTCACTCTGCGCGCCAAAGCAGGCACATTCAGAAAATAAAACTTTTTGAATAGTTTTGTTTTTTTTTTCAGAATTATGTACCCTATTCTTAAAAATACGCTTCATTTTTTAGATCACTTATTTTGCAACATTCATACGGTGACCATTCATACCGATTTTGGCGGGACAGTACCGATTTTGAGAAAATTCCCAGCTGAATATTTTTTTAAAGTTGGGGCGTATAAGTGTACCGACTTTTAATATTTGTACCGATTAAAAACCGATTTTCATTGTTCTCTTTATTAATTTAATATGAGTCTCACTTTCGTTATCACAAAGGACATAGAATATAAGGGAGCCATAAACATATCCTTATCCTTATTTCCTATGACATTTGGTTATGTTTTATTCTGTCAAACTGGTACTCTTGCTATATTGCATTTTTATAACCATTTGTTATTTTTTATGAAATTATTCTAATTTTAATTCATTGAAATTATAAAAAATAATAATAATAAATAAAATAATGGATATGAAAAATATAAGTGCAGATACAGTGGCAAAAATATAAATATAGAACAGATATTGTAGCATTCTTTGGTTATTCCCCTTTCGGTTTTTTATTTTTTAATCAGCCTCATTGCGTATGTCGTAAATTAGGCTAAATTGTACGACTCGACAACATTGGCATTGTCTACTGTCGTGCCGAAATAAGTAAACGACGAAGATCGTCGAAAACTATACAGTGCTGCCAAGTTTTTCCGTTTTAATACACTAGTCAAACTGAAATTTTAGGCAATGACGTGCAATTTGCGATACGATTCGACTCTCGAAAAACGACTTGCATTCGACACGACTCTCGCAATGAGGGTGATTATATTTTTTTTTTAATGTAGCTCGTCATCTAGCAAAGACCACGTACGTCAAAGTCAAAGTACGTCATTTTAAAGTTAGTGCAAAAATTAGCAGAATTCAACAAAGTTTCATTAAAAATTTGAAATGTTAAATAAGATTTTTTAGAAACATTAAATTCAAAGTGCAAATTTTAAGTAGATTTTGTTTTTTTTTTTTTGGAAAGTGTCGCTAATTTTCTGCATACAAAAAAAAAACTTATATGGAAGAAAATACGCGAACAAAAAACTGCCAAAAATCAACGATAAGTCGAAGCTACTTCAAACTTGGACTTGATTATACTAAAATTTAATGGGCTACAAACTCAAAATAATTCTAGAAAACCTGATTAAAATGTTTAAAATTTTATTAAAATTCTTAGTTCAATAGTTTTATAAGTGTTCTACAAAGTTGGAAATTGGGATTTATATTATATTATAAATTTTTTTTTTAACAAAGAAAAGACGCCAAAACTTGCTAAAATTTTATTTTCCTATTTACATTCTCGCCACCGTATATGTATATTCTGTGAATACATTTTTGCGATCATTTTTCAAGTTTTGTTTTATTTCTTTGTATGTTCGGATTCGGTGCTAAATGTTGCATGTTATTAGGCGCGTCTCCTATTCATTTAGAGATTTTTTGTGATCACTTGCAAATTTCTACCAGGCGCTCATAAAAAGAAGAAGTAAATGCCAGCGGAAATATTTTGCACAGCATAACGCATCATGCTCCTCAACGTATGCTACCTTTTCGTACAAGAAAATTTGACATCCGGCAAATCGACAGGCCAGGAAAACAAGCAGTGGTAGTTAACTTCCACATTTATATAATGCTCACTGAGATGGCCATTATGTGGTAATGGAACATTTTTTCTCAACACAGCCCCATGCGTCGTCGAATTTCACACGTGGTCGGTTCTCAACAAATCATTTCAGTAAGCCAACTTGCACTTTCCTACCGAGCGCTCAGAAATGAACAGCAAGTGCAGCGGAAATAAATTTTGTCTACATCACAAGTTGTCCCAGAACGTACCCTATATCTTTTTAGTTCCAGAATATTTTACATCCCGTGAAACTAGCTCAGTTCAAATAATTTTATTGAATCAAATACTTCCAGGCGCACACAAATTGACAGAAAGTATTCACGAAAATACAAATATTTGTACTATTTTACTATGCGCCTGAGCGCGTGCTACATTTCCTTAGTCGTACATATTTCACCCAAAGATTTTGCATTGTGTGCGGCAAACTAGAAGAAATCACATGGTAAGCACAAAGAATTTTTGTATAAAAAGGAAGTACATGGACCCCCCAATGTACTTCCAATAGACCAGCGGCTTATTTGTTNCGTGGATTCGTTAAATCTGGCTTGAAACTAATTATTTATAATAATCTTTCTTTGTTTTACAATTTATATTTGTTATCATTTCCTCATTTCTAAATATGGTTTAGTTTTTTCTAAATATGGTCACCCAAATTATAAAGGCGACCAAATGGGATCAGCTGTTTTCGCTACCGCTCTAATTCTGTTTAAGTAGGCGAAATAGCTGGGCGTACGGTGAACGACAGCATCGCCCAGTTCGGCGAAGTTTGCCGTTCGCCGGTATTGTATTTCAAGCATAATCGTAGCAAGATTCGAATTGCGAAGCACACAAGGTACTTGAGGAGGAACACTCGACCGGCAAAGCAATATTTTAATGAGCGGCTAATATGGAGAGTGGCATTGCCAGCAGCTCGAAATTTCTTAATCAACTTGTGGTATACACATGGGAATACATACAATATAGCATACAGTAAAGCGTGGGTAAGTGAAACTCAGATAAATAGAAAGCATTTAACATGCATATGTGCTTAGTAGTTTGAAAATTAGTAAAAATTAATAGGAATTGGCTATACTGTGAAAATTTACTTCAAGAAAAAGAAAAACACTACAGAGGCAGCTAAAAAAAAATCGGTGCTCTTTATTGGGAGAATACCGTGTCAGAAAGAGTCACCAATTAATGGTTAGCTCGCTTTCAATTTGGTAATTTCGATATTAAAGATGTACCACGGTATTGTTGACCAATCACTGCGGAAGTCGTCGAAATACCTCCAATCGTTGAGAAATATGTAAGCGGTCAACGCTAGGTAACAAAAGAGCCATCTTTCAACAGTTTTAAACATTTTGAAGAAGGCTGAATACTAAAAGAAACTAAACGTTTGGCTACCTTATATCGATGGCTGAGTGGAAGATCGACCTATCTCGGCAGCCAGTTCGAAAACGCTCTATCTCAAAAAACTTTTCAAGAACGCCCTATTTCAGAATTCGTTTCAAAAACGCCCTATCTCAGCGGCCGATTTAAAAACGCACTATATCAGCATATTTTCAATACATTTTGAAGTGTGATAGGGCGTTTTTGAATCGAATTTTGAGATAGGGAGTTTTTCAATTAAATTCTGAAATTCTTTTTGAGATAGAGCGTTTTCGAACTGGCTGCCGAGATAGGTCGAACTTCCACTCAGCCATCGATATGTAAGTTAGCTATTAAAATTTTGAAATTTTCATCGAACCATTTTTGAAGCGAATGATTACTAGTGGTGAATAACAATTTTCTAGCGAAAATAGCGTGCGAAAACGGTCATGGTCCAGGAAGTAGAAAGACAGCCAAACGGTGGTAAAATCAAGATTGACTCTGTTGAAGGTAATTGTCCAATATGAAGTGATTTTCGACAGTGGTGTCATAATTGTTTTAGTATAACAATGTCAAATTCAATAATTACTCTAGAAGGAATCCTATGACTTAATTCAATCTGTGCAGACAGACAATACATAAGTAGTAACTGATGATCGCCAGGCTGCTTTTTTATCTCATTGATGCAATGATATTAAGGCGAGGTCAGACAGAGACGTTTATTGTCATTTCCACCGTCTGTTTTGACAGTATTTTAGTGTTGGCCAGTACCGATACCAAAAGTATTGACAGTAAAGGATTTTTAAAAGTATCGATACTGAGTACTCAAAAGTACTCAGTACTTACAAAATTACTCAGTACTCGTAACATCCCTAGTTATCATATCTACCTTACACTAAATTAACTGTAACATTAAATTCGCGTTCGTAAATAGCTTGATTCCAACCATCCATGCTCTACTGTACAACTCTCTCTCTCTTTTAATGTGCCCCACAACTGGCTATGTATGTAGTTGCCTCATTGCGTCTCAATACGAAGATCAGTGTATAGCGAGTCAACGCTGTTGATCTTCGCACCAATTCGTTTGACTTTAAACACTGATTGCACGACGCGCAACGCTTCAGTCTCAACGTAAACTCGACGAAAAACGCATCCGGATCGAACTAAGCGCGCTAGTTATTAACGCGGCGGCGGCGGCAAAATATAAAAAAAAAAAATTGGAAAATAGAAAGAAACTTTTTTCTTAAGTTTTTTCGCTAAATTAATGTAGAGTAGTGTAGTTAAGCGAACAAAAAGTTTAATAACTTAAAACTTACAAATGTCTTGAAAACGTCTATTTTTTAAGTTTTTCCAAACAAATGTTCTTAATAACGTAAGTTGAAGGTGAATTATGGAAAATACAAATTATATTAAGAAATTCAAATAAAACGATTTCGTTGTGTTTTCGAGAGAAAAAAAAAACGATTTGGCGACCATTAAATTGTGTGATGTGTATGTGTGTGAGAGTGAAACAATTTTGAAGGATTTCTGGCAACATTTTTGACATGAAACTGGAGTTATGGGGAATATGCAAGAATAGTGCATTCAAAATGTGTTTGGTATTAATAATACATTTTCATATGTATGTATAACTAAATATAATTTTGTATTAGATGTTTGAGTGCAGAAAATTTTATTAATGGATTGCAAAAAACTAACTACATAGGAAAAACTAAAAAAGAAGGTCTAGAAAGTGTAAAATGAAATGAATTCATGTGTTTATGGGAACATTTAGAAAAAAAAAATTTCATATTTCACTGATGCAAAAGATACAAAAAAGTATGAATAAAGTGGGAACTTGAATACTTAATTTTCGATAAATTGGTATGTATGTATGTATCTATGTATTTAAAACCATTTTTAATGAAGCACAGTTGCCACAACAAAACAAAATTTCTATGTAAAGGATATGATAGATTAGAAATTACTAAAAAGATGCTTGGGCAAAAATAAAAAAAATTAAAAAAAAATAAAAAAGTCATGAATACGTTTTTCTGAACAATAAAAATTTAAAATTGAACAATTAAACATCCATATATTTGTAGCAGAAACATTAAAAAAAAAAATTAAGAAAAAAAATCACAAAAATAAAAATATTAAACCAAATAAATCGGACATAAATCTTTTGTTACTGCTCTACATAAATATTTGAAAACGGAAACAAGAAGAAAAAACATTTTTATTATTTAAAGAAAATTAAATGTCCTTATTCATAAAAAATAAAATATTTTTAATTTTCGATTTATAAAGCTATTTAAGTCTACTTTATTTTTTATGAATTTGGGTGAAAGATTTTTAGAGACACATACACAATTCTTTACCAAAATTTGTAGATTTTTTAGGGCAATTGATTACTTCAAAATATTTAAGAGTAAACAAAATGATTTTCATATCCATTAACAGCATTAGTATACATATTGCCTTGAAAATGTTTTGTTTCAAAAATTTTGCCGGGGCGAGTAACCGAAAAAAATATTACCACCGCATATGCAAAGATCGGCAGTTCGTCCGCTCGCTGAATGACAACGTTTTTTTTTTTATTATAGTGAACAAACGTTGATCATTATTTTTGCTTGCGACAAACGAACAAACAAACACGCATAGAAAGAAAATTGTTTGTTTTACCCAATCTGCATTTTGTATGATTAAAGTGATTTATTTTCGCTCTGATTTAAAATTGCTTCGGAAGCCGGCGTGGTTGACTGATCTGACGCTTTGCAAATACATATGTATGTATATATACGCACATACATATATACAGGCACACCCGCATACCTATGTACTACGTATAGCGTCCTTCCTACCTTTGTATGGTAGATATTTATGATAGCATTTACACATAGTAGGTACACTTCATCACCGCACAGCCGCACAGGCCAGCTGTCAAGCAGAGTCATATGTAGAATCAGTCAGTCAACCAGCCGTCGGAGTCGAGTCATTCATCCATCTCCATACAACACAGCATCCAGGCCGCGCCAACATCATGGCTGCCAATTACGCGCTGCGCGATGCGATGCGTTGTGATGACGATGGCCGCGCCGCTGTCATTGTTCCAGATCGCTGTTACAAAAAAAAAAAGGTAGCGAAATTTTGTTTTCATCAATGTAGGGGGAGATTTTGCATGAATTTGGGCAGCAGCTTAAATACTCATAAAACACTATAATATGGTAGGTATACTTACAAAATTTTCGGCTTGGGGTAATTCTGTTTAAATGCGTTCAATGAGTTTGAGTGGCCGGCGACCGCGCGGTCAGCGCCTGACCCGCCTGTAACTTTTACTAACTATATGAGAAGAGGGCGCGCGCGCGCGCGCAGCGAATGGAAATGGAATTAAATTAAATCTAATAAAAACAAGTGAAAATATTCAGCATTCATAATGCGCGCACATAGATACTAGCATACATATAAATACATATGTATGTATATACACAGACTCGATACATATGTAAATTTGTAAATGTTCGAAAAAATTCGAAAGAGCAGTGCGCGCGGTTGTGTCGCACAGCAGCCGCTTTAAATTAACAAAAACTTGTGGACGCGCGGCTCAAGCGCTCGATTCCAGAATCAGCGCACAGTGGTGCGCGCAGATTCGTTATTAAATGCAATGTGGGTAAATACGACAATAAATACATATACATGGGTATGTGTGTAAGTGCATACATACATAAGCAGATGCGCGCGTTTTTAAGTACATACTATGTATATTACTTAGTACATATTATATACGCGGCGGAAGCAAGGGCGCTTGCAACATACATACATAAATATGTATGTACTTTTGCGCAGGGGTTCGCGGCTCAGCGCGCTTAAACAGTGAATGCCACTGTTGCTGTTGCCGCCGATAATGATGACGACAACGACATCGTCAATGGCATTCAACACAGCAAAAGCAAACAAAAAAAAAAAAAAACACCAAACTAAATATTACTGCTTCAGCTTCCAAAAGCGCGATCTCGTCTACAAATATTGATCTAAATGCAGTAGCAACATAGCCAGCATATTTTTTTATAATTTTTTTTTTTGTTAACTTAAAATAATTATATGCAGAACTTTCTGTAGCGCTACTGTTTATAAGACATCATAATGCAACACTTCCTTGTAGAAATATGATTGAAATACATCCATCAACCAGTTGGTGAGATGAAAGATGACTTTAGCTGTGCGGCAATGCACGGATACATCATACATACATATGTATGTACATATTCATATGGAAGTACATATCTAAATGTGAAGCATGTGTTGTACAACGCGAGAACATCGATGTTTATTTGTGAATTCAGCATCTTACACCCTTCCCTGCTGCGAGCATATGTTCACTAGGGTGCCTCACAAAAAAAGTTGCAGGTTTGCCACCGGAATGACAAAATTTACTATATTTTAAGACGCTCCCAAAATATAAAATATTTCAGAAAAATATGAAGATTTACATGAGCGGGAGCAATTTAAAAACAATTTTTAAAAATATTTTTTCCAAAAAATAACCTCAGATAATAGAAGTGTTTAAGGTTAAAATTTTTGGAGATATTTTCAAACGGGTACAGCTCACGTAAATTTTAATATATATATATTTTTTTTTAATTTTGGCGGGAGTTTTGAAATATAATAGATTTCATAAGTCCGATGGGAAAACAGTACCGATCTTTGTATAGACAGTGATGCACCCTAATGTATACCTACATACATAGACATGCGTATGTGGCATAGCTCTCGTAAAATATCAACATATTATGTAAGAGTAATGGATATGAAGTTATTTTTGCTAAAACAAAAATAATATAGAAAGTAATATTTTAGTTTGACTTTAAGTCATCGAGCATTTGATTGACGTTTGTGCGCGCCTTTGCCATCATAGCAAATGATACTGATCGCCTGCGCTTCTGTCTACCCCCTGAACTTCCTTATAAACATGAATATGAGCGTACAAATAGATATATGTACATACATATGTATATTTGGACAAAACTGTTTAAAATTGTATATGTAAATACATTATGTAGGCACTATGAATCTTCGGAAAATTTTAATGCACGCCATTTTCACACAGCCCTTTAAAAAAAAAAAAAATTTAAACTAATATTGACAAGTACAGCATTTGTGTAATGAACGACACTCTGGCAGAAAATGTTGATGGAAAATTTTTGAGCTGTTACTGTATGCAATGGCAATAAATAAATCTTAAAAAAACAAGCAAAACTCCCACGGAAGAAAAATTTGTAATAAACGATCTCAAAAAAAATCGTTCACATAAACAAGAGTGTAAAAATGTGTTTTCAGCTTGTCCAGCTGTCTTTTTGTGGTTGATATTTATATCTAAATAAATATACACTTTTTGTCATACGAGGTCATATATCAGTTTGGAAAGATAAATGGAATTGGAAAACGTTGGATTTTCTTTTCTTACTTATTTACTGTTTTTTTTTCTCAAATATTTCTTTCTCTGTATTGGAGAAGATAATGTATTTGAGAACGTTGCCCCGTCATTTCTTCTCAAATTCTGAGCTAACGCTTGACAGTATTCGCTTTTTGTAAGATCTGTAATTCGGATACAAAAATTTATCAGAATTATGTAGAAAATCGGATAAACATATGGTTATTTCTACAACAAAAGACATAAAAATATAATTTCTAAACTTTGTGCAAAACTCGCGAAAATTCAGAAAATTTTCATGCCATTTTTAATTTTTTAATCAGATTTTTTAGAATTTTTTTGAGTGTGCACATTTGTAGCCCAATAAATTTTATTGCTCTAGGTAGCTACAAATTACCGTTGATTTTTAGCAACTTTTTTCTGGCAACTTTTTTCTTCTATACAAAAAAAAAAAATCGAAAATTCTTTATATAGAAAAAATGCAAAACACCTTCGACAAAACAAAAAAAAAATAAAGACAATTCGAATAAATCTGATTAAAAAGTTGAAAATTTTCATGAAAATTTATTGCAGTTTCGCGAGTTTTGCATAAAGTTTCGAAATTATATTTTTGTGTTTTTTGTTGTATAATGAATCATATTTTTATAAAAAATTAGTGGAAAAATATTAGAATATAAATTGGTGCATACATTGAGCAAATATCGCTGTGCCAATACTTTTTTCCGGCAGCGTAAGTGTATCAGTAATCCTGTGTAAAAATCTTAAACGCCCATATTTAATTACTTTTAAATAATGCAGCTTTTAAGTTACGGCGTGTGAGTAAACGTGTTACATGACTGCGTATGGTGCTACGGGGCGTATACGTTACATACGCAACTGTGGGTATTTAAGAATGAGTGGTTTTTTTTGTATATATTTTTTAAGTTTTCATTTAAATACAATTTCGCGATGGAATCTTGCTTTTTCTAAGATA